CATGGCAAATGTTGATGGTAATGATGATGATGTTGTATATTTTCAGTCTACTCAAACTTTCATCGAGCAGTGTTCAACTATGTTGGTGATTACAACCCGAGTGTAAGAAAATCCACATTTTTATTATAAGCACAAGCATCTCCATTGAATTATCATTGTTCATTTCATACCAAATGTACAGTCTACCCAGGTGATGCAATTTTCCTACCTAGAGCTGATGATGCCGATGCTGCCAATGCTGATGATGATAGGGATCATGGTGATGATGAAACTGATGTTGGACGCTGATAATGATGTTGCTGATGATCGAATGAAACTGACCCCTAGTTCGGATCTGCACTTGTCATCTCCCAGCTGGTCTATCAGGCCAGCTGCAACCCCACCTAATTCGGCAGGCGATTATCGTTAATATACCGAGCGGCCCAAAACTGGCTGTACCTTAATGTGCAGTTTCCCAGCCACAAAAGTCCCATGCCAGTTATAAATATATCTCTGTAAATAATTAACGTCCGCCCCACTATCGATTTGTTTCTAAAATGAGTTGGGCTCAGCTTTAGAGGACAATGCTTGATCTGCCTTACCTGCCTAGAAAGCTCGCTGGAATGTAATAGGAGGGGCCATGCAACCCAAACTACGGACCACGCGGTAAACCCACCGTGGTCCGTGCTGACAGAGGAGGCACAGCAAAACGACACGAATTCTTTCTCTCGTGGCGAGCACCTGACTCCAAACGTTGGCATGAAATCTCCTAAAAATATTGCTGCCATCATACACAGGAGTAGAATCGGTGCGCAGCTTTGAAATGACTGAAGCCATTTCATCACGCGAGTGGGCGCGCACGTTTGTTGCTAGTTACAGAGGTTCTGGGTTCGAACCAGGTGGCCGCCCTGGTTAATACTGCATTCTGTATTGTATGTATGATGAACTTCTTTCGCGCTGTACGTAGCCAACCGTGCTAATCGGAGGTGCGGGCATGAACAATAAATACGTGCCGCCTGCTTCACAGTTGGATATTAAAGATCTCGTCAACTGATTAAAAAAATAAGGAGACCATGGTCCCGAATTATGAAAAGGTACTCGCAAATCATGGAACCGGTTAAGGCCACGTAGCAACATCGCGCCGCTACTATGAAGATACTGCGGACGATAGTCGTCTGTAAAACATAGCGCTGGAAAACTGAGGTGAGAGTGTGGGGGTGAAGACCAATTGAAGCCATCTAATTGAAAAACATTTATATCTCAATGTCCGCTCTAATGCAAACGCATGTGCCTTTAGAAACACCCCCAGCCCTTTCAAAAACGTTAACGAAACGCAATAAAATTAATAACGATATGACAAAACTCATTAGAATCGTAAGGCCTATTTAGACACTGGACAAAAGATTAATAATAACCGTTCGCGGGATATTTCATTACAGTACGCCGAAAGAAATCTCATCGCAGACTCAGCAGTGATCCTTTGTTGAATTGTCTTCATTAGATTTGTTTTTATATCTTTATTTAGGCAGGAGAGCCCCACTGAGGGCTGAAGACTAATTCGAGACTGTTCCATCTCCGTGACATTGGACAATGCCCCCTTTTGTCAAGTGCCAACATTTTCGCGCGACAAAAACCACCACGCGAAATCTCCGCCGGAGAGCCCTCCTCGCGGCCAGCAACGGACCACCCTGACATCGAGCTCCTGGACACATCGCCATGCGCACGGACAGAATGTGGCAAAACTGAGAGCGAGTCAACTAAACCCTCACGTAGAAGGCGATTGATAGTCAAGCACGAGCCCACTTGCTATACGGCCTCCTACAGGAACTACCTTACTGGCTCCATGTCTGCACGATCCACACAACCCCACCGTTAAGTCGCTAAAAAATTGTAATTTTAAAATGTATCGGCATCCAATTCAAGCATGCATTCCTTTCTTTCACGTTGCGGTGAAAACAGCGGCCTCTAGTTACTGGCAGAGCCAGTGGGGGGGGGGGCACACGCCCCCCCAATGATCCGATCGAAATCCCTAATCTCGATCGGATCATTAGGGTTTATTAGTAATAAATCGGCATTTTGCGACCCCCACTGCCACTGTGTAGCATATTATTATGTACCAGGGACTCCATGAGATGATAGAACAATAGTCCATAATTGGCAATAAATGAAGGCAAAGCAGTTATAAGTGACTCACAGAATTGTGCGCAGTTGCGTATACAGTACACGACTTCCCTGAAGACATTCACCTTCAGCGAGCAGCGATGCCGATCACACAACGCGGTTCGAATGCGACCCTCGATCGATGGCTGCGCCATCGCCGCACACGCGTCGAATAAAAAGCAAGGGACAAGTCCTTACTCACGAACAACTCCTCTATCATGTCTCATTGCTGGAGGGGTTGCCCCCCCTACCTGACAATCCTGGCTCCGCCATTGCCTCTAGTGGCTGTGGGGGGGGGGGGGGATGTCAATGTTAACGCATCATGTACCCAGACCATCATCGCTAGCCATGAACTATCCACTGCTGGATGAGGGTCTCCCAAGCCGTGCCATTCTCGTATGACCACGCCTCTTAATTTCGATCCACCCCCCAAACAACTGCCCTGGGAACTTGGCCTCGATACCTAGGGCACGGCATTCACGCGCCGAATGCTGTGCTGCATACGAATCAAACACACATTGATTCTTACACGCAAGACTCCATGCATGTATCCTGGGCTGAAGAAATCAATGTTAATCGATGAAACAGTATTGTGAGACCACTACCGAATCCCATTGACGGCAGAAAAATAAAGATGAATCCATCCATTGCGCAAAAGCATATTTAAACTGGAGGAATCTGACGAGCTATGAAGCTCTTCTTCACAGATGTGCAGTAGGGGCAGGTTATAATGTTACAACAAACAAATACAAAAACACGATAGGAGTGCTAAGTATAGGAAAGGTAAGGATATCACTGAAAAAATACAAATTAAAACTGAACAATTTTTCATTGTTACTCGGTAAAGGTCATCGAGCTAAAAGCTTCATTTTCAGAAGCGACCTGGGCCACAAATGATAGCTCAACGAAGTGGCTTACCACGTGGACATTTATAGCGGCAAAATAATGGCTCTGATCACACGAGACCTCATTGCAACTTATTTTTAGTCGATTGCAAATTTGAGTCACATTCATCTACAATGGAGAGTCGATTAATCAGACATTTTTTATTATTTTTGCCCCTTTAAAACGTAGCGGGCGCCCCCGCACATCCCGCCTGCTGAAGGCAGGAAACCCCCTTAGAAGCCACGCCAAGCGTGAGGTGGCTGACGATGCCGATGACGTCACCCTTACCTCCCGTCCAGCGGCACTCTTGGGAACGGAGGTGGGTTTAAAGTGCTTCCAAATATTTTAGTTTATGCCTCGTTAGTCGCGCAATTGCGCAGGCAAATGGTAGAATAATCGCCGACTTAAACAACAGGACAAATAGGACAAACAAACTTGGACTAATGTGCATTGCTTCATGTGCATATGTATGCTGAACTTCTTTTGCACCTTGCGTAGCCAACCACGCTAATCAGAGGTGTGGATTCTAAATTCTTGTAATTTCCATTGCGCGTCCAAATACGTACCCGGCTGTCTGCTGCATCGCGCAGTAATTTTCCCATGAGCGACTAACTGCATGAGAGATTCCGTTCGATGATCATCTAACAGCTTGCCGCCACTTCATTGGCGCGTACGAAAATCCATCATTCGCCGATTAACACTGCCACATCGTGCACAGGCTGTGCTACTGCAGCAAAGTGCGTTCTGTTGCCGATGACTTCACGTGAATTGCAATGCAGGCCAGGAGTATTAAATGAACCGCGTGCCCATTTCGTTCAATCAAGTGCTTGTGCCGTGCAGGGCTCTAAGCGTCCTCATTCATTCGTTCATTTAATAGCTTTGTTTTCCCATTATTTCATCCATTCAAGTGTTCGTTTCGGAAACGGGTCCCCACTTTGTGAATTCATTCATTCCGACTTCAAAGCAGTAGGAGGGGTGAGCTCTCGCCAGCCGATGAATTAAATTGTCTCAAACATCTGCCTGCACGAGCGTGTGTGTGTGTCTGTGTGCGTTCTCTCCCAAACACCGCCAGTGGGGAGACAAAGGCGGTCGGCGCGTGCCGGTCTTCATAGGCGCTCACGAACCGCACTTGCCACAAACAGTCTGTTAAGGCTATAAGGGGCACCTTTGTCTTGTCTTTTGCACACTTTGCCGAGGACATGCCGACATGAGTCAGGCATATCTGTCTGTACCAGACCACATTCGCACGTGCACGGTTGTGTTTATGTACTAGGGTGGCGGCAGTCTAGTGGTTAGCGCCCGGCGCGTTGAACCCCTTAGGTCGACTCAGCCTTAAATTAGTTTCCTGGCGAGGTCTCTAAGCATCAGCACTGGGGAGACAAAGACGGCACCCCCTGATGCAACTTTAATATGTGCGCGCTAACAGCACTTCCCCATTCGTCTCTGAGAGGCTACGTGGGGAATCTTTGCCTTTGTCTATTATATTTGTGTGGAAAGATGGGAGGGCGAGTGAGGTGGTAGGCAGAGGAGTGACATTCGCGAAAACGAGCGGCGCGCTGAGGCCGCTTAGGTGGGCAGCATAGGCGGTGCTTTTGGCCAGTCATCGCGTTCAAATATCCCGTGACACATGGGTCTGTTCCACGACTGCCCGGCTGGCAAGCCTACGACACATCGCGTGGCCTCGGCGGACACAAAACCTGGGACAATCACACGCGTGACATCGCCAGCCACATCGGTGTTGCTGTGTTCCACATGGGTGCGCACGTGCGACAAACCAGGGATCGCGCAATGTTCACACACTCGCACGTGTGCGCTCGCCCGTGGACGTGCGCGCACCTGTGCGCGGGTTTTGCGAGTTCTTACGCGTTACACTCCTGCACGCGCGCAGGCACGTTCAGCGTTCGCGAGAACACGTCCACATGCGAGAACACGCGCACACGACGCGGTAGCAAGCGAGCGCGTCCGCCCGCACTCACCGTGGAGTACAGCCTCTGTGCGGGGGCGTGCGGGACGTAGTGGACGCTCGGCAGGGGCACCGGTGGCTTGGCCTCGGGCGGCTCGCCGGGGCAGTCCGTCACCGTCTGCCTGGCGCCGTCGTGCGTGATCCTCTTGAAGCGCCGGCGAGACTGCCGGAAGGAGGCCTGGCGCTGAAACTCCTCATGCTCATCCATGAAATCCAGCTGCGCCACAAAGACAAAGATCCCACACCCCCGTGTAGTCTCGATAGATTTTTGGGGCGTGTGCTGTTGTGCGAGCGGCACACAAGGGGGGGGGTGGGTGGCCAGCGTGGAAGAGTAGGCCAAACACCCTCTACTTGCAGGGCTCTCTCTCGAGTGGAGCCCCGTCCGCCAGCTAGTGACACAAGCAAGCAATTGCAGGGCTGCACCCTGACTTATATGTCTGTAAGCACATTATTTAGAGGTTGATAAATACGTATTAAAAAACATCGTCACGTCTCCAAGAGGATACAAATTATCTGCATTTCAGACGCCTGGCCTTGTTGAGGAAATAAAACACTTGCGTTTATTTATAAAATTAAGAAGCCCAGGATGGCAGTACAACAATGGAATTATGCTCTACTGTCCTCTGCTGACCACCGCACGGCAAAGGCCCTCGCCTGCCTGTCACAACCTGGCATGCACGGTGGCGGTCACCCTTCGAAGCGCTAACCAGGGTCAACTCCTGCTTAGCTAGCGATGTATACGACGGATTCTGTGCGGGTTTGGTCACGGCGCATTGAAACACGCGCCCATTACGCACACGCATCATGCGACCGTACCAACCGACACGCGTGCACACGCGCACATCAACTCATAATGCGCACATTATTAACCTACTGAAGCACACTCGCCGTGCCGTGCGCACGCGCGGGCTTTTTGCTATGTAGTTGAAATAAATCATGAACAGCAGCGACAGGAAAGGGGGGAAGCAGAAATAAAATGAAGGCAAAACCCTGACAGATTAAATCACCGGCGTTCAGAATGTAAATGATGGGACCCCCGCGGGGGACTGCAAGGGCAACCGAATGACAGTGTTTAATGTGCACTCACCACAATTAGCTCTGATGGCTCCAGAACGATGCAATCATGGCCCCTCTGACTGCCCGGCCTCTGTCGTCCAAAACTGGGGGCACGGAGCACACAGACACACACACACACAAAGATAAAGATCCCCCGTATAGCCTTAACAGACTGTAGGGGCAAGTGCTGTTAGCAAGCACCTATGAAGGCCAGAACGGCACACAAGGGGGTGGGTGGCCAGCACCACGCCCGACCGCCTTTGTCTCCCCAGTGGCGATGTTTACACACCGCACCAGGTACTCATTTAAGGCTGAGTCGACCTAGGGGAGGCCCAGGACCGGTTCAGATAATCGTCACTGGTGTTAGCCGTGAGCGGGAATCGAACCCTGGTCGCCAGGTTCATAGCGCAGCGCGCTAACCGCTACACTACCGCTCCCCACACACACAGACACAAAGATAAAGATCCCCCGTATAGCCTGAACAGACTGTAGGGGCAAGTGCTGTTAGCGAGCACCTATGAAGGCCGGAACGGTACACGAGGGGGTGGGTGGCCAGCACCACGCCCGACCGCCTTTGTCTCCCTAGTGGCGATGTTTACACACCGCACCAGGTACTCATTTAAGGCTGAGTCGACCTAGGGGAGGCCCAGGACCGGTTCAGATAATCGTCACTGGTGTTAGCCGTGAGCGGGAATCGAACCCGGGTCGCCAGGTTCATAGCGCAGCGCGCTAACCGCTACACTACCGCTCCCCACACAGACACACACACACACAGACAGACACACACACACAGACACGCACATATATACACCGCGCCAACATCCTGCACGGCGCGATAGCGGCCGGGTTAGTTCTCCGACGTTGCGTTCGGGTTGCGTGCCGTGCGCGGTTGGGGCACGAGGTTCGACGTTTTGCTCCGTGTGCTGGGTGAGTTGAATGGAGAAAAAAATAAAAGGAGGTCCCCGGCACGGGGAGTAAAACGTCGGACGTCGCGCCGAACAGCAAGCCGACATGCGCGTTCAAGAGAGCCGCACGGCGATACGATGACATATCGTACGACTCAAGGTCCACGATAATCACACCGTCCGTTTTGCAAAATATCATTACATCGTGATAATCACCGTTACATTTTTTATTATTATTTTAACAAGGTTTCAACCCGTTTTAACTGCGCATCAAACCCAGGTCTCTGCTGCCCTCAAAATGAAAGCCTTCCAGAAAATGTCTTATAAAGAGCACGAAGAAAACATGGCAAGTCCTGGAGAGAGGAGAAACGTGTTACAAAGAATTCAGGCGACAAAACGAGGTCAGGCACAGGAAAAACTGCAATGTGGTGACCCCGGGGGGGGGGGGAGGGGGGGGTGAATGGTGACCGGCTGCAAAGCATGGCGACGGAGGGGAGAGGTAACACCCGGGATGTGCCTGGACGTCGGACATCAAACGCTGGGCGGGATGGAAGCCCGTCTCAATCGATGAGCAGAGCGAGGAGAAACGGGGAGACACTGCGGGGGACAGATGCCGGCGCAGGAAAAGGTCGTGCCCGAAACGGCCCCCCCCCCGCCTCCGACAGGGCCAAGGGACTGCAGGGACGATGAATAACTCTGGGTTGCCTGGCCTGTGAGAGTTCATCGAGTCAGAATTTACATCGCATCTCTCGATCTAAAATCAGCTGAAGCATCCCGTGAGTCACCTGACTTATGCGTTGCCAACCAATCCCACTGTGAATCGCGACCCTCTCCCTACCTACCCCCCCTGTGGTTTTAGAAGCTCCCTCTCCCCCCATGGAACTCGCTTCTGCTCGCTCGTCTGTTCCATTTGCTTTCACCTACTTTTACTCTCGTTTCCCATTCTTTCTCTTCTCTCTCTTCCCTGTCCCCCATTCCCCATTTTTTTTTTGCCCACGGGACGTAGTTTTATTTGAGGACTTTAAAAAAAAACCACAATAAGCAAGCTAGTGCGCGCATTTATCAGGAGCGCGCACTTATTTTTAGCAGAGGCACGCGAGAGATAAACGATGTCTGCCTTCCAGTAGGAGTTATTTATAAACAGATTCGCGACAAAGGCACCAAGCAAATTCAACGCACGCTCACGCGGGACATCCACGTGCATCGCATGACCACTGCGCGTGCGTCCGTGTGTGCGTGCGTCCGTGTGTGCGTGCGTGCCTGTGCAGTATGAAGCAGTAGTGTAGCAGTTAGCACGCTGAACTACGAACCCGGTGACCCGAGTTCGATTCCAGCTTACGGAAAACAGCAGTGACGATTATCAGAACCGGTCCTGGTGCTCCCCTAGATCGACTCAGCCTCAAATGAGTACCTGGTCGATGTGTAAACATTGCCACTCGGGAGACAAAGGCGGCCGGGCGTGGTGTTGACCACCCACCCCCTCGTGTGCCGTGCCGGCCTTTATACGTGCTCACGAACAGTACTCGCCCCAAAAGTCTGTTAAGGCTATAACTGGGGGATCTTTGTCTTGTGCATCACTAAAGGCCAAGCCTTCGTGGAGTGACGACACGTGCTTTAATCAATGTGCGCTAACAAAACAACCGGAACGCTGATTTTCACGTGGGAACGGGGCCTGGCAATTGTGGGAAGGAACAGAATGACTCGCAACATCACAATATCAGATAATCCCATGCGTTTTTTCTCGTCCTTATTTTTCATTCCGCTTCTGGGCACTTTTTTAGTGTTTGTTTTACAAATGTAGGACATTTTAAAAATAGTTTCATTATTATTTTCTTTACTCTGTTGGGTAATAAAAGCCTCTCTGGCTGCAAATGAGTATGTGGTGGAGCTCCACTATGCCAGCAGCCCTGAGCCAGTGGTGGCAATTCCACATTCCCATGGAGGGGACGGTGGCATTTGGACAGTCTCTCTCCACCGAACAAAAAAACCTCCACCAGGCCAGATATGTTCCGTACGTATGTTGAACTTAGTAACGAATTGGCACGTTCTGTTCACGTGACCAACCTTACTAATTGGCTGTGTCGGGTGGTGGCGGGTTTAACGACACAATTATATCCCACCAGCCTCCTTAACAAATCAAATCACACGGCCGCCCTGCCTATCCCGGCTGCCTCTGCTGGTTATGGACGACACTGACGCTAGCCTGGGGAAGCTCGCTTCCCAGAGCGCACTCGACTGTCAAATGATCTTTGTTGTTTCGCAATCGGCGGCGGAAACGCGAGAGGCAAATGCGTCGCGTGATGCGCGCCGCGGGGCGGGGGGGGGTTTGGTGGCAGCATGGGTTAGTGAACGAATACATTATAAGGTCGTGCTCATTAGACACAAAGTGCTTGCTATAAATGAACCACAGTACCTTGCTGATCTCGTCCAAGAGCATAAACCATCACGTGAACTCTGGTCATCCTCGCAGAAGCGGCTGTTGGCTATCGACCAAAGACGGTCACCGCATCGTAACCCTTTCAAATGCGCTTCTGCGGCCGTCTGGAACGCTCTTCCTTCCGACACTTAAAAATCATCCAGATTGAAAACTCATTTCTTTAGAACTGCTTTTTGTGTTGAGTTTGTCATCCTTCCCCCGCACCTCCGATTATCACGGTTGGCTACGTACGGTGCGGAGGAAGTTTTAACATACATACACGCGGAAGTGGCCGGGGTTGTAACGGGGTGGTGGGGTGGGGGGGGGTGCGCTCCGTGGCGACCCGCCACACCATCGCACGTTGTCACTTGCCGAGCAAATCGTACCGGCCACTGCCTCTCTCGCACGAGCGCGGCCAATTGCACCGCGTTAGCGTAACGCGACGGAGCGCCAGCGGTGACACGGCGCGCCGCTCGCTCGCCGACCGTGCACACGGCGGTACGGTGCGAGTGCCCGAGGGGATCACGCCGCCCTGGCGTGACGGGCGGGCCGCGCCGGAACCGAGCTCGATCCGATCGCCTCCAGCGCGGCAGATGAAGCGACGGCGCAGGTTTCTTAAACTGCGCCCCCCCTCGCCCCCTACCGCATCGGTCGATCTGGCAGTATAAATGGGAACGCAGTGGCGGAAAAAAGCGTGGGTACCCTTACCGCTTCCAAAATGTTCGGCCGGCGTGGGGGAGTAGGCCTAAGACAACGTCTAGAGGGGATCTGCTCGAGATCTGTCGAGCTCCCTCAAGTAGACACCCTTCTGCCGGAATTGGCATGATCAAGCAATCGCAGGGCTTCACCTTTACCCTGACCGAGTATGATTATATCCAGGATGTAATCACTCACGTATGTACGTATGTATTTTGAACTCCTTTGGCACCGTTCGTAGCCAGCCGTGATGATCACGACGATGAATTGGGTGCAACCGAGTTTGATTTAACAGATGAGAAGTTTCCTCTACAGCAAGGAGATCGTGCTCAACACCAGTTTCAAATTCCCAACAATCACTGTGGAATTATAGAGACCCAGAATACATTGAGGTTGGAGGAGCTAAGGTGAACAGTTATGTCAAATTCCTTCACGGGCCTTTGCGAATCCACTGCTGAATGAAAACCTTGGCATGCCATGTCTATTATTGTTGTTTTTTTACCATTCTGTACCAGACTGGTCAGTGTGGACTGGTGAAGGGAGGAGGGCCCAGTACAGGTTCAAATATCACGTGCCATTGATGGTAGCCATGGCCAGGAATTGAACCCAGGTAACCCAAGTGTATAGCGCAGCGTGCTAACTACCACACCACTGTTACACTCAAAACGTGAAATATTCAGTTTTCCAATCTCACCTAACTATCAATACATTATAATGAAGGAAAATTCATTTACATTTGTATTCGCTCACACTCGAAGAGAGAAACCACAAACAAGCAGAAAGGCAGCCACGTGGTAGGCCAAGTCCAATAATTGTCCAAGCTTTGCGGTCCTATATATATGAATGTGTTATTAACCAAAGAAAGCCAACTAGTGCGAGGGTGAAACACTCTATCCCTCTTTGGCTGTACCACAAGATGTGAGTTTGTATGTAGAATAGAACCCCTTTAACGAGCACCCCTGTTAACGACTAATCACTTAACGACAAGGCCTCCATAGAGCCCAGTGTATAGTGTAGTGTATAGTAGTGTAGTTTATAATGTAGTGTATAGTAGTGGAGTGCAGAGTAGTGTAATGTATAGTAGAGT